TGTTTTTCATCTGAAACGTGCTGCGATTTATATTCCAAAGCCACTCATATAATGCAGAAACAATCAAGCAAGCTAAACACACGCAACGCATGCACGTATTTGTACTGGTGCAGAATAGTACAGCCTATAGCGCATTTTACACAAGCTGTTAGATTCACTTTCGCCAGAAAGTCGTGTATGCCTAAGGTTAAAAATAAATGACATTTATAGTGAATGCCCCTATAAATGGTCTTATTTTTACGATTTAGTTTTAATCCAAATGATGCATGTACTAAGTGAGTGAACATCAAAGATCACACAACAGAATTGCGCGCGCGCGCTCTCTCACTCTCTCTGTCGTTAAGTAACTTGTGCATTGTTTTACTTGTTTTTGACGTATCCGACCGAACTACAAACTTTCCAGTGATGTCTGTGAGAAAGGTATATTCACTCGACAAGCTCGCGCATCTGCGCTGCCGTGTGCTCAATCCACTCAGCGCGCTTTGCTTATCAACTCGCGCACATCAGCTATTCAGGCGTTAATACTGAATGTTTAACATTATATTCATTGCATACATATACTTCGTAGAAGGGAAAGATGAATGCGGCCAGGTACAGGGATATCCTGGACGAAAACTTTCTCCAGAGTGCTCAGGACCTCAGACTGGGCCGAAGGTTTACCTTCCAACAAGACAATGACCCTAAGCACACAGCTAAAATAATGAAGGAGTGGCTTCACAACAACTCTGTGACTGTTCTTAAATGGCCCAACCCGAGCCCTGACTTAAACCCAATTGAGCATCTCTGGAGAGACCTAAAAATGGCTGTCCACCAACGTTTACCATCCAACCTGACAGAACTGGAGAGGATCTGCAAGGAGGAATGGCAGAGGATCCACAAATCCAGGTGTGAAAAACTTGTTGCATCTTTCCCAAAAAGACTCATGGCTGTATTAGATCAAAAGGGTGCTTCTACTAAATACTGAGCAAAGGGTCTGAATACTTAGGACCATGTGATATTTCAGTTTTTCTTTTTTAATAAATCTGCAAAAATGTCAACAATTCTGTGTTTTTCTGTCAATATGGGGTGCTGTGTGTACATTAATGAGGAAAAAAAATTAACTTAAATGATTTTAGCAAATGGCTGCAATATAACAGAGTGAAAAATGTAAGGGGGTCTGAATACTTTCCGTACCCACTGTATATCCAAAATAATCTATATTGAATCTAATCGCATCAAAATTAGAATCGAATTGAAAGCTTGTGAAGGATAATAGAATCAATTTGTGAAATTTGTGTCAAAACCCAGCCCTACTGTTTAACATGTTTCAAAATATTTAAACCAAAAATATTTAATGCTACTGCAGTAACAAAAACATTTAAAGGGTCAGGGAGAAAGGTCAGAAAATTGCTAAATAATGAAACCCAATAATGATCCCCATTGACTTCCATAGTATTTTTCCCCATACGATGTAAGTCAGTGGCTACCAGCAACTGTTTGGCTATCCACATTCTTCAAAATATCTTCTTTTGTGTTCAGCAGAAGAAAGAAATTTATACAAGTTGGAACAACTTGAGGTTGACTAAAATTTTGGATGCCCCTTTGATGCAGCAATTACCCCTTTTCAACATCTATTAGGGGTTATTGAAACAATATCTAAGTCTCTGCATTAATGACACCTGCTAACTGCACCCACATAATAGCATGTACTCCTTCACTAGCAACCTGTGTCTTCATCTCATTTTTCTCCACGCCATGGCATTTGTGAGAGACACAGCGGGAAAGGAGAGGATGGCAGCAAGAGAGAGACACATGAGAGTTGCGGAGTGGAATGTGTCTGTGTACATTTATGTTTTGAAAATATACCGGTGCCATCATCACCACCATGCAGACAGTCATTTACATGTGGGCATATTCATACAGGGAATCATCAGTGACATAGAGAATTTCAGCTATTCAAAATGCAAAGCCCTTGTCGTTTTGTGCCTTTGACGTGTGGCGAGGGCAGGATGTACACTGGCGTGGGTTTTTCTCATGGTCTGCTACTTAAATCACAGTTGTTTCATAAGCTCTCGGTCATGGCAGCTCTTTGACGGTGCAGTGCAGCTCCACTCAAGCACAGCGTGCAGTTCCTCCCTCCTCACCCCACCCCAGCTGACTGTCATGACTTTATTAATTAAGGCTGGCACTCGTCCCAGTCGGTAGCAGCTGAAACTGGGAGGAAAGCAAGAGCGAATGTGTAAGAAGAGCGTGGCACCAGCCTATCTGTCTGCTCGCTCCAGGAATGGAGACGTTCTCCTGACAAGCTTGACCTTAGCTGCTCATCGGGATGCGCAAGCGCTCCCTCGCTGAGCCTTCCTGGGGAGCGGCAGCATCTTTTGAAGGTTGAAGGTCACTGCAGACTGTTGCTAAAACACAAAATGCTGTTTTCTCTGTGCACGAAGGAACCTAATAATAAACCTTGTGAGGAAATGATGGCACATTGAGTCAAACTAAAGGCTGTTTCTGTTCTCTTGTAGCTGTGGAGACCCAGAGCACAAGCTCAGAGGAGATCGTACCCAGCCCACCTTCTCCACCACCACCACCACGGATCTACAAGCCCTGTTTCGTCTGCCAGGACAAGTCCTCGGGCTACCACTATGGAGTTAGCGCATGTGAAGGGTGCAAGGTAAGAATCTAGCCCATTTCAATTTGCAGAAGGATTGAGGCCACAAATGTTTTTGGTCGCTTTAGTCACACTTGTCTATGTTCGACGCCAATTCAGTGTTTCCCCTGCCATTATTTTAGGGGGGCACCCGCCCCCACAACGGCACCCCCCACCCCCCTTGAAGGTCAAGTTCATTTTTTTAAATTATATTTTCTCTATAGCGCCAGATCACAACAGAAGTCATTTAAAGTTACCTTTCTTATAGAACATGTCTATACCTTGTTCTTTCATTAAGCAAACTAAATAGCCTTATGTTATTTATCTTATTTACACGACGGCATGTCATTTCAGTCTCTACGTTATGGTCGCGCGCTCTGTATCACGCACAGCGGAGTTCCGCCCGATGCGCGCGCTCACACACACACACACACACACTCACTCCCACTAGTATTTGTAAATATTAAGCCGCAAAATGATTCATATTTAAATATGAATTCTGCGTGTCTGTGTTAATGAATGGCGCAGACGCGCGGTTTTGTGTAGTACTCGTACTGAAACGCTCGTGATGCTTCCAGTGATACAAAATGTAAATACACAACACAGAATTTCTGAGCAAAAAAATCATAAGGCTGTTTTAAGAATAAATGAAACTTGTTTTATGCTTTCAAATTAGACATGCTAAAACAGAATTTGGTTACAATAAAACATAAGGTTGGACAAATAAAACATTTCATATGGCCCTAAACGTAATATTTGTTAAACTTTTAATAAATTGATGTTAAATTGTTTAAGTTTCATGATTTTAATGAATTAGACATGCTTTTTGATTAATCTACCCGTATTACGATTACGGGTAATCTACCAACACCAGCAGATGACATAGCAGCCCAAATTATCACTGACTGTGGAAACTTCACACTGGACTTCAAGCAACATGGTTTCTGTGCCTCTCTACTCTTCCTCCAGACTCTGGGACCTTGATTTCCAAATGAAATGCAAAATTTACTTTCATCTGAAAAGAGGACTTTGGTCCACTGTGTTTTCTGAAGTCCACAGTCAACGCAGCCATCTACCAGGAAATTTTAGAGCACTTCATGCTTCCTTCTGCTGACAAGCTTTATGGAGATGCCGATTTCATTTTCCAGCAGGACTTGGCACCTGCCCACACTGCCAAAGGTACCAAAAGCTGGTTCAATAACCATGGTGTTACTGTGCTTGATTGGCCTGCAAACTCGCCTGACCTGAACCCCATAGAGAATCTATGGGGTATTGTCAAGAGGCAGATGAGAGACACCAGACTCAACAATGCAGATGAGCTGAAGGCTGCTATCAAAGCAACTTGGGCTTCCATACCACCTCAGCAGTGCCACAGGCTGATTGTCTCCATGCCACGCCGCACTGATGCAGTAATTCATGCAAAAGGAGCCCCTACCAAGTATCGAGTACATGTACAGTAAAT